ACGGCTATGGTAACAGCAGTTGCGGGGGAGGGGGGAGAGGAGCAGACAGCTAGCCGCGTGTTTAAAATGCTCACATCCCATGCTGCGGTGCCTGCTTCAGCTACGGCTGCTGGCTCCAGCTACCCAAGAGGCAACAATGATGGCTCAAGTAATTGGGTTCCTGACACCCATGTGGAGAGAGCCTGGATTGAGTTTTTGATTGTTGGCTCTGGCCCAGGCCCAGTCCTGGCCATTGTGGATATCTGGGAGTGAACCAGCAGGTGGGAGCTATGTCAGTCTCTTTTTCTCAAATAAACAAACAGTAATTTTTAAAAAATATATAAAAAAGAAGACAGTAATTGAATTCAGATGCAATGTGCTATTTCTAGGATAACTATAAGACTACTTCAAAATGTTCATTGAAGGATGTTTACACTGGTGCAGAAAATGTTGAAATCGGGGATGGTCGTTTGGCCGAGGGGTTGAGGTGCGGGTTGGACTAACCCTGTCCCAGGTCAGGGGACCTGTGCTGGATACCTGGTTCTAGCTCCTGATTCCAGCTTCCTGCTAATGCAGACACTGAGAAGCAGTGATGGTGGCTCAAGGGGTTGGATTTTTTTAATCTTAATTTTCTACTGCTAAAATTGAGGGTGTATATATTCAGTTGCAAAGAATGTGCTTTTTGTTATCGGAAGGAAGTTAGTCCCAAATTGCAGATACCTCTCACATTTCTCTTAAGAGCACTCAGCTGAGAATCCTCCTTCCCCATTTCATTTTGCTTCTCTCCCAGGTTTCAATATCTAACTTCACCAGGTAGTTACTGATTCCTTTTCTTATGTTTGCCCAACTAGAATGAGGGCAGAAATTTGTATTATTAGGCCTCCCAGGGGCAGAAGTTGCTGACAATTGGCTATTTGCCTCACTGATAAATCCCGAGTGCCTGGAACAGTAGCTGGCATACTTCAGTGCTTAGTAAGTACTTGTTGCCTCACGCAGGGGAATGAGGGCTGGCTTTGGAGTCACCGGGCCCCAGGTGAGAAGGCAGGCTTTCTGTATGGCCTGGGGAGCCCCCTTTACCCCTGTGAACCTGCTTCCCCACCTGTAACATGGAAGTGACGGTGACACACAAGGGAGACATTGTAGGCCAGGCGTCTGATGCCATTGGAGCCACACAATGATTGCTTGTCTCCTCCCTTTGCACATTCTGGGAGAACCTCAGAGGTTTGTCTGATAGCGTTTGTCTTCCTCCACAAGCCTTTATGGGTGTTAGCAGTCAGGGTTTCAATAGGACATCCTCTGGAAGGCACACTCAGATTAGGTCCAGTGCAGCAGGGATTCGTTACCAAGGGCCCTCTGAGGAAGGCTGGGATACAGGAGAACACAGACAGACAGAGAAGGAACGGAGGGCATAGCAGGGCACTCACAGCCCCTAGGCTGAAGGGATGAGTGGAAGGAAGGCGAGTAGTGATTTCACCTTGCGGGGAGCACAGCCAGCCCTAGGTGACCGCCCAGGAAGGGAGCCCGGGACCAAACACCCTTGCACCACTTTCCCCCCTGGAAGATCTCCTGCTAGTCTCCTATCGTCAGACCCAGCCAGAAGCCAGAAGGCCGAGGAGCCCAATGAGTCCGCCATCCAGGTCAGCCCCCAGGGCAGGGACAGGGAGAGAAGGGAGCATGAATGTGGGGGAGCAAACCCAGGGCAGGGACAGGGAGAGAAGGGAGCATGAATGTGGGGGAGCAAACCCAGGGCAGGGACAGGGAGAGAAGGGAGCATGAATGTGGGGGAGCAAACCCAGGGCAGGGGCAGGGAGAGAAGGGAGAAGGGAGCATGAATGTGGGGGAGCAAAAGGAAGCTCTGCAGCCAGCACTCTGACTAGGAGGCAGGCACTTGCTCTGCAAGGGACAGAGAAAAGCAGCAGCTCTCAGTCGGTCACAGTGGAGAAGGATGACAAAACTTTTTATCTTCTTCTTTTTTTTTTAAGATTTATTTATTTTGAAAGTCAGAGTTACACAGAGAGAGGAGAGGCAGAGAGAGAGAGAGAGAGAGGTCTTCCATCAGCTGGTTCACTCCCCAACTGGCCGCAACGGCCGGAGCTGCGCTGATCCGAAGCCAGGAGCCAGGAGCTTCTTCAGTGGATGCAGGGGCCCAAGCACTTAGGCCATCTTGTACTGCTTTCCCAGGCCATAGCAGAGAGCTGGATCGGAAGTGGAGCAGCCGGGTCTTGAACCGGGACCCATATTGGATACCGGCACTTCAGGCCAGGGTGTTAACCTGCTGCGCCACAGCACCAGTCCCTATCTTCTTTTTTTTTTTTTTAATTTATTTATTTGGGACCCGTGTTGTGGCATAGCAAGATAAGGGCCACTTACAGTGCCAGCATCCCTCCCAGGTGCCGGTTCAAGTCCTAGCCACTCTACTTCCAATCCAGCTCCCTGCTAATGCCTCTGGGAAGCAGCAGAAGACCTGGAGGAAGCTCCTGGCCTCTGGCTTTGGCTTGGCCCAGCCTAGGTCTTTGTGGCCATTTTGGGGAGTGAGCCAGAGGTTGGAAGACCCCTCTCTGTCTCTCCCCCCACCCCTCTAACTCTGCCTTTTAAGTAAATAAAATAAATAAGTAAATAAAAAGATTGATTTGGGAGCTGGTGCTGTGGTGTGGTGGGTAAAGCTGCTGCCTGTAGTCCTGGCATCCCACATGGGTGCCAGTTCTGGGCCTGGCTGCTCCACTTCCAATCCCGCTCTCTGCTATGGCCTGGGGAAGCAGTAGAAGATGGCCCAAGTCCTTGGGCCCCTGCACCCTCATGAGAGACCTGGAAGAAGCTCCTGGCTTCTGGCTCAGGTTCGGCTCAGCTCCGGCCATTGCAGTCATTTGGGGAGTGAACGAGCTGGGTGGGTGACAGAGAGACATATACAGATTGATCTTCCATCTGCTGGTTCACTCTCCAAATGTTGCAACAGCTGGGACTGGGTCAGGCCAAACCAGGAACCAGGAACCTAATGGGGGTCTTCCACAGTGGTTGGCAGGGGCCCAGGTACTTGGACCATGCTCCATTGCCCTCCTGGGTGCATTAACAAGGAGCCAGATTGGAAACAGAGCACCTGGGACAAGAACCTGTTCCGATATAGAATGTCAGTGTCTCAGACAGTGGCTTAACCTGCTGAACCACACAATGCTGGCCTCAAACAGAACTTCTATATGTGATGTGTCATACAAAAGTCAGTGCTATGGGCACACATGAAGTAGTTATCTCCTTTACAACTGAAATGCAGGGTGGTTCTAGTGTTTGACTGGGAAAGGCTGATTCATTTTTATTTGAAAAGCAGATCTATCTATCTATCTATCTATCTCCCATTTTCTAGTTCACTGTCCCAGTGTCCACAACAATTAGGGCTGAGCTAGGCCAAAACCAGGAGCCGGAACACAATCCAGGTCTTCCATGTGGGTGGCAAGGACCCAAGTACTTGAGCCAACACTGCTGCCTCCCAGCGTACCCATTATCAGGAAGCTGGAATCTGAAGCAGGGCTGGACTGGAAACCAGGCCCTCTGATTTGGGCTCCAAATGTTCCAAGTAGCATCTTAACCAGTGTACCAAACACCTGCCCGGAATGGTTTTTCTGATGAAATACAAAAAGATGGAAGTGTCGTATGGAAATGAGAAGGAGAGTAAGAGGCAAAAATGGGATACATTTTTTAAAGATTTACTTACTTGAAAGGCAGAGTTAGAGAAAGAGGAGGAGAGACAGAAAGAGATAGAGAAAAAAAAAAAAGATCTTCCATCCACTGGTTCTCTCCCCCAATGGCTGCAACGACCAGGGCTGGACTAGGCTGAAGTCAGGAGCCCAGAGCTGCTTCAGGGTCTCCAACATGGGTGTAGAGTCCAAGCACTTGGGTCATCTCCTGCTGCTTTCCCAGGTGCGTTAGCAGGGAGGAGGATTGGAAGTGGAATAGCTTGGGCTCAAACTGGCGCCCATTTGGGATGCTGATGTTGATGTCCAGGGGAGGCTTAACCTGCTATGCCATAACGCTAGCACCAGAATGGGCTCATTTCAAAGGCTCTTTCCAGTTTTAACGTCTTAGTGATTTAGTGTATTGTTGTTCTTCTTCTTGTTATTTCTGAGCAGACTGTGGATCTTTAATAAATGCAAAAATGCATAAAATGTTTAATCTCTCTTCACAGAATTTGACTTTGTTTCAATAATACAAGATCTTTGTGAATGTAAAATAACAAAATTAGGGGAGCATATAATGGTTTAAAAACAAATCCGACCAGCCTAGCCCCAGCTGTTGTAGGCATTTGGGGAATGAACCAGGGACGGGCGCTTTCTATCTCTGTCTCTCAAAAAAAAAAAAAAAAAACAAAAAAAAAAAGTAAGCTTATTACAATGAAACTTAAAATAATGCAAAAAGAAGACTAAGCTTGTCTAGACTGCTAATAGACAAGATCAATTTAGGTTAATATTCATATTATTCAACACTTTTTTCATTGTTCTAACCACCAAAAAAGCCCCGTACAACTGTACATCTTGGCGACTTCTAACGAAAACTAGCAAATTCGTAATGTCGTGGCTGTATGTGCTCATTAGAAAAATCATATGCACGAATTTAATCAACACACACAATATGGATGAATGAGGGCGTCAAATTACAATAGGGTGAGCTCTGCTGGGAGCAGGTTTGGGGGAAAGGCCAGAAGAAGGAAAGCCACTTTCTTTTCTAGGCACCAGAAGTTGTGATAAGCTTGCCAGCTTATCCATCCGGCCAGAGAGCAATACCCCGGTGCACCGAACCTTGGTGCCGGGAGAGCTCTCACTACAGCAATTATTTTCTCTGTAATTAGACGTAATTATTGTGAAATGTAGCGAGGCGCACAGTCAAAATCAAACCAGAATTTCCAGAAGTATCCTTAGTACTGAAGCTACAAATGTCAAATGGCTGGGAAAAAACATAACCAGTAATTATAAACAAAACTAGAGAAGGAAGCGTGGGCAGTTAGTAATACTTCAAAGGCCTTTGGGATGCACCCTTGGGAATCCAGAGAAATGAGTCCAATCAGATGCGGGCAAGTGCAGAAAAGGCAGGAGGGGTGCAGCTCTGGCCCCGCTCAAAGGGACGCGCCCCGCACCTGCCTAGGCCGGCTCCGGGATCCCGCGAAGGCCTCATCCGGGTGCTCGCCCACTACCACCTCCGTCTTTCCCTCTCCGAGGCAACGGCCCGCCCCTTCCTCCGCCCTCGTCTCCACCTCCTCCCCACCTCCAAGGCGCCTGGCTCCGCCCACCCACCCTGAGCTGAGCCGCGGCCGGCCACGCCCACCCAGCGCAGGGCCAGGCTCCGCCTACCCCCGCCTGGCCGCGGCCGGCTCCGCCCACCCAGGGCGCTGGGCTCTACCCGCCGTCTCAGGGCCGCTGCCGGCGGCCGAGGGGCGGGGCGGGCCGGGAGGAGCCGCGCTCCGGAGCGGGAGGGAGATCCGCCGTGGAGTTACGGGAAAGTTGGTCCGAGTTCCCGGAGTTTTTCTCTGTGGTTCCCTGGGGCTCGGTCTGCCGGCACCCCGGCTCCATTCCTGCCTCTGGCCTTCGCGGTCCATCGGGTCCCTGTTTCTGCCCCCGGCCGCCATGGAGCAGCCGCCGGCGCCCAAGAGGTAACGAGCACTAGGAGCGGGCAGCCCGAGGGGAGCGGCGGCCGCAGGGCGGAGGCGGCTAGGCCGGGCTCTACCGCGACCCTCTCTCCGCCTTGCCGGGACCCGAGCCTGGCGCGCCGAGGGTCGGGAGGCAGGTCCGAGTGCCCGGCGCCATCTGTCCGCGGGGCGACTGGGCCTGAGGGGAGTGGGAGCCCGCCCCGGGCCGGCGGGGCCTGGCGCGCGTGGGGAGTTGGGTGGGCAGCGCCAGGCTCCCCCGGGCCTGACCTCCGGGGCCGGGCAGGGTTTTCCCCTCGTGGCGAGTTCACGCAGCCTGGAAGCCCTAAAACTAGGAAATTATGTACAATTATTTACAACCACGTAGGCTCTCTTGTCAAAGTATTTTTCATAATATTGTCCCCCCCCCCCCATCCTTTTTGGGAAAAGGCGGGTTGTTTATTTACAGTTAAGGAATTAAATATTAATAGCCACAGAGTTTGTAAAACTTACTGTGAGTATGCCGCGCTGACAGGTGTTCCTCCTCCTCCCCCTCAAGTTCAGAAGTATTTGTGGAGGCAAGACAGTAGAAATCTTAGAACCCTCCTCCATCGACTTTTGCATGTATAAATAGTGATGCTCTGGTATGGTATTCATCGTTATTTGCTCTTTGATAGATTAGCAATGTATGTGTACAGAGTAGATGTGTTAAGTATTTGCAGTGATCTTAGGAAGCTAAATCAAGGTTATTCATTGATGCAGGTTCATAATGTGCGTTTTCACCTTAAGAGCGAATCAGCTTATTGACGTTGGATAACACATTTAACCTCAGTCTTTTTTTTTTTTTTTTAATTTATAAAAAATAAGGGCACTTCTCTCTCTCCTGGGGAGAGCTGTTGTGTCGATTAAAGAGTTCATGTGCTTTGATGCCTAGAGATCTTTAGATGAAAGGTGGAATAATTAAAAAGGTGGGAGCTTTGGGAGCTGTTGAGAGTTGTGAGACTAGAGACCTGTGTGGCCTGGAAACCATCTGTGCAGGGGGTGGGGATGGGGATGGGTGTGTCCTAGAGGGATTTTTCAAAAGGGCTATCAGCTAGGAGAGCCCAAGGTAACGGATAAATTATTTTCTAGAATTTTCTAGGGTGTCTGTATTCTAGTACTCACTGGGCACTCCCTTTGCTACTACAGAGAGAATTGGGCCCTTTTTCTTTCCTGTGTTGGAAGGACTGTAAGTGGGACACCTCTGAGATCATGCCAGAGGCCAACTTGAAAGAGTTTGAATGGAAGCATCGGCTCTGTCTGTTGATTATTTCTGCTGTCAGTTCTGCCGGTTGCATTATAGGTGTAAGAGAATCTGTGGCCTTGCAGAGACACTAGACAATCTGGAAGAGTCTGGGGGAGGTGTGGGTGGTGGTGCCATGGTGATTTATACTTTTCAAAGTGGTGGTTGCACATTAGCAGACTTATTTTTAGCTCTTTTCAGAGAGACTTATTTTGATACAGGAAGGCATTTCTGAAGAGCAAAAGATGCGTGAAATGAATCCTTTATATTTAAATATCTCAAGATTTTTTCATGGCGTTTTCCTATCCATAATATTTAATCCTCACACCAACCCTGTGGAGAATTTGGATTAGAGGCATTAATCCTGGTTTATAGATGAGGACATTGAGAGAGTTTCCACAGGGGAAGAAGGCTATGCAGGAATTACAGTGTATATTTGTGTTACTCCCTTGATCATTGCCTTCTAGTAATAAAATATAGCTACTATTTTTGAGATCATAATATTCACTAGGAAATTTATACAGTCAAGCATTGCTTAATGACAAGGATAGTTCTGAGATATGTGTCACCAGGCAATTACACAGTCATGCGAACACCATACAGTATACTTAATTAAACTGAGACAGCTGTGATGGATGATATATGGCTAGGTGATGTCATCTTTTGGGACCATCTTCATATGTGATCTGTCATAGACATGAGGTTCATGACTATATATACGTTCTTTTATTTAGTGATTGTTAGAAATAGTAATCCTGGCTCCATTTCTTAGTATACTAGTATGTTCTTTTTTATTTTTATTTTTTGAAAAATTTTTTTTATTTGACAGAGTTAGAGAGAGACAGAGAAAGGTCTTCCTTCTGTTGGTTCACTCTCTAAATGGCCGCTACGGCCAACGCTGTGCTGATCCGAAGCCAGGAGCCAGGTGCTTCCGCCTTGTCTCCCAGGCGGGTGCGGGCACCAGTGCCCTCCCTGGCCACAGCAGAGAGCTGGCCTGGAAGAGGAACAGCCGGGACTAGAACCCAGCGCTCATATGGGATGCCGGTGCCACAGGCGGAGGATTAGCCAAGTGAGCCATGGCACCGGCCTCTTTTTTATTTTTTAAAGATTTATTTTTATTTATTTGAAAGACAAAGTTACAGAGAGAAAGGAAGATACAGAGAGATCTTCCATCTGCTGGTTCACTCTCCAAATGGCCACAATGGCTGGGACTAAGCCAGGCAGAAACCAGGAGGCAAGATCTTCTTCCGGGTCTCCCACGTGGGTGCAGGGTCCCAAGTACTTGGGTCATCTTCCGCTGCTTTCTCTGGCACATTAGCAGGGAGCTGGATTGGAAATAGAGCAGCCGTGACTCGAACTGGTGCCCATATGGGATTCTGGTGTCACAGGCAGCAGTGCTACAATACCAGTCTACTAGTTTTAAATCTGAATTTCTTCGTCTGTAAAATGTATTGCGTGGATTACGTGGGGTCATGTGTTGTAAAGCACTAAGCATAGAGCTCCATAATGTGTTGAGTAATGTTAATTATGGTTAAATCATATTTTCCTTATTAATGTGGCTCGGAAAAGTTAAATAACTTGATCAAGTGGAGTAGAGGCCAGAACCCTGGGTCTGACTGGCTGTGAAGGCTGTGCGTCCTCTCATTCTGTACAGAGATTCAGCTATTCTAAACATGGAATGTTAGCATTCCATGACTGTGATCATGTTTGTCTGTAAACTCCTGGTCCCGTTTGCTTCTTCTCTTCTTAATCTCTCTATCGTTTAGCCTTTTTGCCTTGAGTGGCACTTCCTCTGTGCTCAAACCCTATCGCATGGTCATGTCTGTGTTGCTGATGTTCAAGATCATGTGGCCACTGTTGCTGTTCATTTGGCATTTTGATTATTTCATGTAGTTCTACTCTTTTGATATCCATCTAATTTGTCACTAGGTCCTACCAAATGTTCCATTAAAAAGCCCGTGGATTCATTCACACACATGTATGCACACTCACACACTGCTTTTCAATTTTAAGATTACTGCTCCATTTTGGGGTTTTATGACCCACAGACTTGAATTGCAGCAGTAGTGCCTTCTAACTGGGCCCTGTAGTCTAGTGGTTTTAAAAATACTTTAACAGTGAAAGGGCTCTGGAGTAGAGGCTGGACACTGAGACTTTGTTCCTACTCCGATGTTCCTTTCCCCCTTTGCTATCCTGTAAGAACCTCCTGTTTACTCCATAGAACAGGTTTATCTTGCTGGCATCACTTCAGTCATTCTTCTGTTTTTAGGTTAGGAGCACACATGTCTGCTTAGCACCCAGGGCCTCCATCACTTGGTCTCTCCCTAACTCTGTCTTCTGTTACTGTTCTCTGAGATGATCTGTCTTCATGAATTGTTTCCCTGTTGCGCTATATTTAGGTTGTAGGCGATGGCATCCCAACTTTGCAATTGTTTACTTTTTTCCTTTAGAAAAGTTCATGTTATTTTTTGCCTGTAACCTATTATTTTATTCTTCCTTCAATCCCTGCTTCATAAAGTATGGTATCTGAGTACCTTCTAGCCTGATAGTTTCTCTGCATTCCTAATATATGCAATTTGATATGCATATTCTTTTTATGACACAATTATAGACATGCCAAAATAATGGAGACTAATGAGTATTTACATATCATTACACTGCTTCAGAAATAAAATACTACCAAAATATCTGCATATTACCAATACATACGTGTTATCTCTTCTCAGTTGCATTCCCTTTTCATCCCTGAAAGGGTAATCATTTGTCTGAAGTGCCTATTAGTCCTTCTCATACACATCTGTATGTTTTTAGTATATACCTGCACATCGTATTAGGCCTGGATGTTAGGTCCAGCTTTGTCCCTGACTTTGAAATTCGCTTCTTTAAATATCATTCCTCTCTGGGAGTTGGAGATTCTAATGTGCACTTGGTTTAAAAATCACGACTCTGTAAGGCACCTCGTAGACTCTCCTTCACTGATTTGGTCTCCCTGACAAGGTGTGGTTAAACACTCATTGATTTCCTCTCCCCAGCTGGCCTTGGCAGTAGATGTGGTCACCCTTGTCACTGACTTGAGGTACCAGAATGTTGACTTATGTTCCACAGACTTCCATTTAGGTCTGTCACAGAGGTCTGCAGACATCCTTATTAAATGATTTATCTCTGGGAAGGGAAATCCACTAAATGGTATTAATTGCTTGCATTTTGTTAAGTTCAGTTGATCAAATTTCTTTGTAGGGAAACCACCAGATCAGGAAAAAATGACCACAGAATAGTTAAAGTTTGATAGGTAGAATGGGAAATGACTGTGGGCTCTTCATCAGATAGAACATTCCTAGAAGGGAGATGGGCTTTTTGAGAGAGAGGTGAACAGCATAAGACCTCTGGTTGTTGGGGAGTATGGGTAGTTATATTTCATACTTGTCAAAGAGGACAGAATATCTTGTTCTTCAACTAAACTATAGGATTAGTGTTATTTCAATTTAAGGGGTAGTTATTTAGCCTAGCTGTTAAGATGCCAGTTAAGATGTCTGTGTCCCACATTGGAGGACCTGAGTTTGATTCCTGACCTTGGCTCCAGATTTTAGCTTCCTGCTAATGCAGACCCTGAGAGGTAGCAGTGATAGCTCAAGTAATTGGGTTCTGAGACTTGTATTGATTTCTAGCATTTATTTATTTAAAGATTTATTTATTTGAAAGGCAGAGTTACAGAGAGAAAGGGAGAGACAGAGACAGAGACAGAGAT